CCCATCTCCCTTTTACTCAGTAGACCCTTACCGAGAACCTACAGTGTGCCTGGCCCTTCTGGGCACTGGTGTTACAGCTCACAGGTGACACTGTCCTTGGACAAACGCCAAATGTCCAGGGACCTAGCGGCTGATTGGCGTCTCGGAAAGAGTGCTGAGGATCACTGTGCGGCCCCTCACACAGCGTGTCTCACCCTGGACAGGGCTTTTCCACGGTGTAGGACTTCAGTGCTCAACACAGAGGGGTCCTGGGCAAATGACCAAGTGGCCCCTGCAGGGCATGCTGCCCCCTCTTGGGACCTGGGCAGCCCCGACGTGCAGCAGGGTCTTTCCCAGAGGGTGTGACAGGCTGGGCACCCCGGGGCAGGTGGGCATGGACCCACCACCCTGCCAGCAGGACGATGCCGGGAGAGGGGTGCGGCACAGGAGGCCGGTGAGACAGACAGGAGAGAGCTGTGCCCTTGTGGGTCCCGGACCTGGAGGTTGGAAGTCAAAAGCAGAGAGTAGAAGGGCAGGTGGTGGAGGCAGAAGAGGTGCAGGGCGCTGGCCGTGGTGACACACATCTGTGATCCCAGCTCTCAGGAAGCTGAGGCAGGAGGATCACCATGCGTTTGAGGCCGGCCTGGGCTACACAGTGTGTTCAAGGCCAGCCTGAACTGCGTAGTAAGACCCTGTTTCAAAAAAAAAAACAAGAAAAAAATATTTTCCAGTGTGGCCTCCCACATGTCCTCTGGAAGCCCCACCCACACTCTGGCCTCAGTTTCCCCACCAGCACTGGCAAGGATCTACTGGTTCTTTGCGGGGAAGGGAGCCAGGTGGCCTGTGTAGCCTGGCTGCAAGGGGTCCGTCCTGTCCCACCCCTCCCCTGCCCCTCGTCCCCTCTAAACTGACAGCGTCTGCTCAACCCAGCTGAGTCTCGTGAGCCTCTGCGCCTCTGAACCCACTGGGGTGGATCAGTCCATGGCACCTGAGACCCAAGTGGCTTCTGCTGTTTTAAAAGCTCTTGGGGGACCATCCCTCCCTCGCCAGCCTCCACTTCCTGCCACAGAACCTGGGAAACCCCTTGCAGGATGGGGCAGCAGAGGCAGGAGGAGGCACCCCACTCCCACAGCTCCCGAGCTCCTCCCTGGGGAACAGCCCTGGCACTGTGCAGGCCACTGGAATCCCCAGGCAAGTGCCAGCTCCTGCCTCCTCCTGGCTCCCCAGCCTGCCACAACAGACACTTGTCCTAATGCTGCACTATAACCCCCCATGGCTCCCCAGCACCCCACCTTCACATCCAATCATGAGCCTGTAGCCTTGTGCCCCGCCTCCCACTCTGACCACCTTCTCTTTTTTAAAACAGCAACGCCAGCCAGGCATGGTGGTACACTCCTGTCATCCCAGCATGCTGGGAGGCTGAGGCAGGAGGATCACAAGTTCAAGTCCAGCCTGGGCAACTTACTAACTTAGACCCTGTCTCAAAATGAAAAAGGGCAGGAAGTGGAGCTCAGTGTGAAGACCCTAGATTCAATTCCTACTACAGGAAAAAAGAAGAGAGACAGGAAGGAAAAAAGAAGAAAGAAGGGAAGGAGGGAAAAGAAAGAGAAAAAAGAAAAAGGAAAGCAACCCTTGTACCCCCTGCCCTCCTGAGCTTGTGTTTTTTGCAGCCAGCATGGTTTTCATTTTAAATTCACTGCAGTCGTCCTACTGCCGCCCAGAGGGCCAGCTCTGTGGCTTTGTCTGTTTTGTTCACTGCTTTGAGTGGTACTGGGAACACCATGTTTATTGAATGAATGAATGAATGGTGAACTTCTATCCATACCTCAAGACCCTGAAGAAGTAACCCTTTGTGCTTGCCCTGGCCAGTGTCTGAGAAGCCAACTGGAATTGCCTTCGCCTTTCAGGACTTCACTTCCCCAACTTCTTTGACATCCGATTCTAATGTCATTATCCAGCCCCGGCTGATAAAAGTAGCATAAACATCCATCCAGCCTTCGGTGTGCATCAATCACTGTGCAATGCTTTTTCTTCACCTCACTGAAAAATAATGTTTTTTGAGACAGGATCTCACCATGTAGCCCAGGCTGGCCTTGAACACATGGTGATGCTCCTGCCTCAGCCTCCCCAGCGCTTGGCTTACACGCGTGCACCGCCACGCCTGCTGTCCTCATTGAGAGGTTGTAAGGCTCCCGTGGAGTCGGTCCTAGTGCAGTTTAGAGCCAGGGAAACAGGCCGGGCATCTGAGGCACTGGGGCAGCTGTGGGTGGAGAGCGTGGACCATGGGCGGGCGTGGCGGGAAAGGTGCAGGGAACCCAGTAGAGGAGGCTTAGCTTCAGGGAGCAGCGCCCTGATCTCCTCCTTCCTGGGGTCCTCCACACACCACAGAGACGGCTAGAAGAGGGCATCATGCCAGCTGTCATGGTGCATGCCTCTGATGCCAGCACTTAGGAGGCTGAGGCAGGAAAATCTCCTGGGCTACATAGGGAGACCCACACAGAAAGATGGGTTGTGGGAGAGCAGCAGTGACGGTAGGCAGTCCCTGGAGGCCGACAGCCCTGCTGTCAGGGGAGGGGCCCCGTTCCTGAGCTTGGGAGAGGGTGAGGCGTTGGGGGCCCAGAGCCTGGTGGCCCCAGTGAAGCAGCCCTGCACAACCACAGAACGTTTGCCATGTCCCAGCTGCACCATCTGGAGCTTGAATTCGAGGTCTCCCACTCCCCAGCCTGCGGCGGCCAGGAGCTGGCAGCCAGGGAACACCAGCCCGAGGTGGCATCCTTCTCACATTGAGAGTGGAAGGTGCGGCCAGATATGGACCCTCCCAGTGCATGGGCAGATGACAGAGACAGGAAGGCTTTCCTGAGGAACGGATCAGGAAGCGGAGGCCTTGACGTTTCAATAGGAGTTTGCCAGCTGAAAAGGTATTTTCCTAGGCATCCAGGACATACGTATGTATGGCTTGTGCCAAGGTGTGGAGTTAGGCTGGAGGTGCTTTCTGTGAGCTTTGTGCAAGAGGGGCTGAGGTCGAAGCAGAACATGGAGCTCTTGAGAGCTCGGGAAGGCTTTGTGTTGAGCTGGGCTGAGCTCAAAGAGGCCTCTCCCCACCCCCCAGGTAGGATTCTAGAACCCAGGCTAAGTGGCTTCTTCAAGAGCATTTGCATGGCCAGGGATTTAGCTCAGTGGCACCGCGCCTGCCTCGCAAGCACAAGGTCCTGAGTTTGATCCCCAGTACAAAAAAAAAAAAAAAAAAAAAAAATTACTGATTCAAGAATGTGTGGAGTCCAGCTGTGGCGCAGTGGCAGCCCTGAGGCTCCCCGAGGCTTCCGTGCGGCTGCCTCTGGAGCCCTGGCTTGGCCCTGGCTGTGTGCCGGGCCTTGGGGAAGCATCTGACCCACCTGGTTCTTGGGGCTTCTCGTTCCCCCCAGGAATGATGAAGGCCAGCACTGTGGCACACAAGCCCCCCGCTCCCCGCTGTCCGTAGCCTCTGCCTTCCCAGTGGCACGTCCATGGGGCTCGGGGCAGCCACCCACGCAGGGCAGGACTGGGAAGGGCAGGGTGAGGCCCGGGACAGGGAGGCTGCGGGTGCCGGTCCTGCCCCACCGTAGACACCCTGGGCCCAGACCTCCTCATGACCTGACTGTCCACACCCGGAACCGGCCGGCCCACCCAGTGTATCCAGTAAGACACACAGAGCACAGGACATCAGAACATCAGTGAGAAGTGTCAGAAAAAATCACACAGGTGACAGCGTGGCCAGGGCCACAGTGCCAACAGAGCACACGGGAGCTCGGCAGACACCAGGAGCAGGGAAGGCACTGTGGCAGGATTGTGGCTGAGCAAAGGCACTGTGGCACGAGAGCCAGACCAGCAGAGTGGCTGAGGCCGTGGGGATGACAGGCGGGATAGGGTGGGACGGCGGGGCAGAGGCTGTGAGCTGACTACGGGCACTGTTCCTTCAGAGGATGAGGCTGCCGCTTCCCTGGGATGGGACTGAGGCCCGGGGGCAAGGGGCCCGCCATCGCAGACCCAGTGGTGCAGTGCCCTCCCAAGAGCCCTGCAGTCCCCGACTGGGCACCTCCGACCGGCGGGCTTGCACCTGGCCCCAGGACGCCCAGAGCCGGACACCGGGATGGGGCTGAAGGTCATCTGGGGAGGGCTGGGCAGGGCCCCGCAGCCCCGGTGGGAAGGAGGGCAGAGAGAGGGTGTTGGCCAGGAGTCCTGAGGCTGCCCCTTCCCCAGGGTGCCACCCAGTAGGGGACAAAAGGCCGGGGACTGACAGCTGGAGATCTGAGTCCTGAAGCACCCGGACCCAGCAGTGCCTGCAGGCGTTCCCAGCTTCTGACAGCGGGGTCAGGTCTGAGTCCCCTGCCACCAACATCGGCTTGGCTTGGCTTGGGCCACCTCGTTGGCCAGGAGTCCTGAGGCTGCCCCTTCCCCAGGGTGCCACCCAGTAGGGGACAAAAGGCCGGGGACTGACAGCTGGAGATCTGAGTCCTGAAGCACCCGGACCCAGCAGTGCCTGCAGGCGTTCCCAGCTTCTGACAGCGGGGTCAGGTCTGAGTCCCCTGCCACCAACATCGGCTTGGCTTGGCTTGGGCCACCTCTCCTGTGAGGGCTACACCGGGCTAGGAGACCCAAGGAGGCAGCCCAGGTGTTGGTGGAGGCCGACACCCCAGCCGCGAGGGCCCAGCTCCCCAATGTGTCCCCACAGCAGACCTCACCAAGGTGCACTAGGGCTGCCGAGGGAGGTTGTTTTCCTCTCTTTTTCCTTTTTACTGTGGTGCTGAGGAAGGAACCCAGGGCCTTCACACTGAGCTAAATCCTCAGCCCTTTTATTTTTGAGACAGGGTCTCTCTAAGTTGCTGGGTTACCCAGGCCAGGCTCACACTCATGCTCCTCCTGTTTTAGTTCATCTGCTGCAGGACTGGGCACCACTCCTCCTGCCTCAGCCTCAGGAGTGTGGACTACACCTGTCCTGGAGCAGTCCTTACAGGCCTGGGGCTGGTCCAGCTCCACTGTGGGGCCTCACACACCCAGGCTGGGGCCTCCTGCAATCCTTGCAAAGGCCCTCTTCTCCCTGAAAAGTCTTTGAGGGGGGCAAGGGGATGCTGTGCCCCTCCTGGTCCTCTAGAACTTCCTGTTCCTGTTCAGCCTGTTTTCTCGCCAGATGTTCTGTTTCCGCAGCAGCCGCCAGTACTCTCGGGTATCAGGGTCCAGCTCCTCCAGCTTCTTGGGGGGGCCCACGTTCATCTGGAACAGCCTGACAGGAGGAGGGAGGTGGTCAGGGCTGCGCAGCTTCTAGGGCAGAGGTAGTGACAGGGCTTCTTCACTGCTCCTCTAATGCATCAGGCTCAGTTTTGCCCCAGGGCCTTTGAACAAGCTGGGCCCACTCAAGTCCTAGCTCACGCATCACCTCTCCAGGGAAGCCCTCCCAAAGCCTCAAACCTGATCAGCCGAGCCTGTCACCCTCCCACTGCCTTCCCAAGAAATGTGGTCACCATCACATCTACCTCATACCCAAATAGCTCCACAGAGGGGGGATCTTTGCTTGTTTTGTGCCCCTCTAGATCCCTGGGACCTTGAAGAGGACCTGACATATAGCCAGGGCTCAGTAAATATTTGACGAAGAAAAAGAGAGAGCCTGACGTCAGAGGATGCCCTGTGTTCCAGTCTCATCCTCGGTGGGTCCACAGCACCCAGCACCCCATGGACAGCCAAGCTGGGTGTGACTTCCAGAGGAGACCACGGCACTCACCACTCGGGGTACTCGGTGTCCGGCTTCAGGACCACATCCTGGCCCTCCTTGTAGATGTTGACACCCATGGCGTGTGTGGTAAGCCTCACGGGGTCTGTGCACACATCCGGGTCCTTCAAGGCCTCCCCGACCACACCACCTTTGCTGCCCTTCGATCCCTTCAGCACTGCAGGGAGGAAGGCAGGAGTCCTGCCAGTCTGGCTTCACCCCAGGGAGCCCACCTTCCATTCCTGACCCTCTCTCTCCAGGTAGGTCTTGGGCCTCAGCCTCACTGTCCTCTACAAAGTACTACGTGAGAAAAGACCCAGCATCAAATAAGGCTCTGAGTGACTAAGTCATTCCCTTTGAAATTCTATTTTTTTAAATTCTGTTTTGAAACAGTCTCACTGTATTTTCCTGGCTACCCTTGAAGCTGGGTGGATCCGACTGCCTTAGCCTCGCGAAGTGGTGGGCTGGGCATTCACCATCATGCCCTGCTTTCAATTCTATTTTGATTCTTTTTGTTACTCTCACAGATAGTCTCCCTCCGTTGGCTTCAGGTATTTTGTGCTTTTTTTAACGTTTGCCTATTTCCTCCTTCCAACAAAGGCTTATACAGATGAGCTGGGTCAGCTAAAAAAATTAATGACTAAAGTTTGACACTTTGGCTGGAGTGGTGACAAATGCCTGTAATCCCAATACTCGAAGGCTGAGGCAGGAGGATCTCTGTGAGTTCAAGACCAGCCCGAATTAGAGTGAGACCCTTTCTCAAAAAAATCAAAGCAGGGCTGGGTATTTAGCTCAGTGGTTCTGCAGCCTGCCTCGCAAACGCAAGGTCCTCAGTTGGATTCCCGATACCAAAACAAACTTGAATGGGCCCTGTCTCTCCAATTCCGGGATCACACAGAGATTCGGAGTTAGGTACAGTATTGGAACCTAAAGTCATCACTTCCCTTACTCTTATAAATCCTACCAATCCACGCCTGCGCAGTGGGACGCCTTTGCTCCACGTAACGCGAGCACGCTGACAAGGGCCGCGCGGGTTCAATCCGGGGCTTGCGCGCTGACGCTCCCGAAGGGTTCTTCAAGCGCCTGCGCAGTGATCCCAACCCCCGGCCACTTCCTCAACCAGCGCCTGCGCACTACCAATCTCACGTGTATCCACCTTCCCCATTCTCGGTCCGTCTTAACGCAATTCACCTGGCTTCTTGGCATAATACCGAACCAAGAGTCTTCCAGGGGCGGTGGCGGCGGCAGGGTCTGGGAACTCCCTCGCTGCCCACGTACACGTAGCCACGAAGAGGTGCCGGGCCGCCATGACGTATGCCGACTGCTCGCACGAGCCAGTTTCCAGGACTGAGACGTCAGCAGCCCGGCGAAAGGCGTGGAGGTGGGGTGGGGTAAGGCTTTGGGAGTTGTAGGCTCCCGGGGACTTCTGGGAGGTGTAGTCCTCCCTGCCTTATTTGAGTTCATTAAACTTTTATGGTTGTTTTGTTTTGTGATCGAACTCGGGACCTTGTGCTTGCAAGGCAGGCGGCGGAACCACTGAGCTAAATCCCCGACAATGCAACTTTTTATTACAGTCAAATTCTTGAACATACATATGTCTGTTTCTTTTTTCTTTTTTTTTTTTTTTTAACCTGGGAGTGAACTCGGATCCTTGCGCTTGTGAGTCAGGTAGCATCAAGCCACTGAGCTAAATCCCTAAAAAGAGACAGGGATAGTTCAGGCTGGCTTTGAACTCATTATGTAGTTCAGCAGGCCTCTGACTCGCGGTAGTCCTGCCTCAGCTTCCCGAGTGCTGTAATTATAGTTGTGCACCACCATGCTCGGCTTCGTTAAACTTTTGAATATAGTTGTTGGTCCCCGGGATCAAACTTGGGGCCTTGCACTTGCAAGGCAGGCAGCGGAACCACTGAGCTAAATCCCGGGCCCCATGTCTGATAGTTAAAGGATATTTCATTGATTTCTTGCCCTTCATCAATTACTAATTTGCTTAAAATATCACTTTAGCTGAGTGTCTCGAACTTCCAAAGAGAATACTTTTTTACTCTTTTTTAACACGTCTCCATTACCCGCCGCGGCCCTAGCGCCCTCGTGTGGTGAGACTGGCTGGAAGGACTACATTTCCCAGCAGGTCCCGCGATCTTGCGCATGCCCAGAGTCAGGGCTCCTTGCGGACTGCTAAGCAGTCGGGGAGTCAGCTGCTGCTGCTGCTGCTGCTGACAGAACCGTCCCGGAAATGCCAGGGCTGGGCCAGGGACTCGGGGTCCTTGGGACCGCGCGGGGTGACGGCTACCTCGTTTTAGGAAGTGAGTATGGAAATGGGGACAGTAGGACCGGCCCCGTATATCTGGGGTACGAGTCTGGTCACTCTTGGGGTGATATGGGAAGTTTGAAGACTGGGGCCCGCCTTTCTTTTTGGTTGGAGATATTGGGGTTTAAACCCAGCGCTTTGCACTGAGCTCCATCCACAGTTCTTCCTTATTTTTTTATTTTCAGACCAGGCCTCGCTAAGTTGCTCAGGCTGGGCTTGAACTTGCAATCCTGCTGCCTCAGGCTCCCAGAGTTCTGGGATGACAGGAGTGCACCACTGAATTCCACTGGGACCCGGTTTGTGGTGTCTTAGGGTTTGGTGCTCATTTTGAGCTCCCGATCTGAAGTCTTGATTTGGTGTCTTGGGTATTAGGTTCGGGGTCACCAAAGGAGGAATCTTGAGTCTGGGCCCCTGGGACCTGCATCCGTGTCCGTTAGAACTATGTGCCCAGCCTGGTTCCAGGTTTCAGGGCAGGGGGACTTGGAGGAGCCAAGGCTGGCATGAACAAAGACCACCTATGGGCAGAAGTTGAGAGTGACAAGTACAAGGGACACCCTGGGGCTTGTAGCCTGCCAACCCACTGCCTCAGTGCGTGCCCCCAACCTGTGCCCCAGTGTGCTCATCTGTAAAATAGAGACCTAAGCCAAGCATGGGTGTGCACACTTGTGATCCCAGCACTCTGACAGGCTGAGGCAGGAGGATCCCAAGCTGGAGCCCAGCCTGGGCAACTTAGCAACTTAGTGAGACCCAGTCTCAAAATCAACACACACATAAGAGCTGAAAATGGATCTCAGTGTGAAGGCCCTGGATTCTATCTCCAGTCCTGCCAAAAAAAAAAAAAAA